TTCTTCCCTTTCCCCCTTCTCTCACACACCCCCCCACTCTCATTCCCCCAACCCCCCAACTCCCATCCCCCCCACCCCCCCATCTCGGCGTCAAGGAGCCAGTGGGAGGGATCCAGTTTCACGACCACTGGGACGCAGGCTGTGCTCTGTGCCTCCTTGGGCCTTTCCATCTTTACAAAGAGAACACAGATGGTCACCACTTCTGTGCTGGGCACTGCATGGAGAGCAGAGCTGGGCCCTTCAGAAGCTGTTACAGCTCCCCCGGCGATTCTGGGTGCAGCCAGGGTCGGGAACAGTGACCAGTGCCCTGGCCGCCCTCCCTCAGGGGCAGTGGCTGGAGTCTGTGCTCCACAGCTCGCCCACCCTTCCTCTTCCAGCTCCCTTGAGGACCTCTCTTTCCATTGTCCTCTCTGTTGCATCCCCAGAGCCCCACCAACCTTTCTCAGCTCTATTTTTCTCATCCCCACGAACGTCGAGGTCGTGGCTTCAGCTCCATACCCTGTGCAGCAAGCGGCGTACCTCCGCTCCTATTTCCACCTGTAAGAGAAGCTGGAAAGGCCTGGGCCGGAGAGCCTCTCTCTGGCTTCCTGGAACACAGTTTTCCGTTACTAGAGGGTGAGGAGGCTCCTTCCTGAAAACCTGGGCCCTTGAGGATTTTCAGTCTGGATCCTTCCATGCATGATCTAAGATGCCCTCAAACCAGCTTCCTCCAGACACTAGCCGGGTGTCTGTGTCCCGACCACTCCGTGCGGGACGGCCCTGTTGTCGCCGTGGCTGCCGGCAGAGGGCGCTGTCCCTCGGCTCAGACGGCGTGGGGCCAGGGCGCAGAGAAGCAGCTGTTTTGACTTTTAGATGATTTTTTTTTTTTTTTTTTTTTTTTGCTACAGAGGCTCCTCTTCCTGTGCTGGAGAGGTCAGCAGCTCTTACACAGGATGAGCGATTCCTTTTCTATACTCACCTCCAAAATCCTTTTCTGTACTTATTTCAAACACAGTTGCCCCGGGTGCATTTAGTAGCTGTGTTCCTGAAAGGTTGCCCACGTGGGAGATTGTGTTTAAAGGGCACCCAAGAAAACTCTCTCATTGACAATAGAAACTGCTGTTATCTCTTGTCAAGCGAATTTATATTTCTAACTCAAATAGTAGATTTCTCTTCTCTGAGACATCAGAAATTTATAGGAAGGGTTTGATAAAGGGAGTATACAGCTTTTTAAGGTTTCCTGGGCATAAGGGCCCGTTGCCCTGCTCACCAGGCTGCAGGCTTCTGGGGCTGCACAGGCCCACGGGCCCACTACGAAGCCTCCCCTGCGGCATGGCCTGCAGTGGGCCCTGGGGCTGGGCGGCAGCCTCTGGACACAGCCTGTCCTCCTTCCCACCCCATCCCCATGCCCACCCTGGGGGCCTGTCCACCGCAGAAGAGGAAGGGAATGGTGACCATGTTCCCCTCCCACTTACAGGCCCTGGGCATGTGCCTGGTATCATCAGCCCCCACATGAAAGGCACCTGACTCACGGTTTTACAGACGACGAACCCAAAACAGAGATCTTGCCCTTGAAGTTTTTTCTCCCAGTCTCGTCTCTTTTACTCCTTTTCTAACTCGTCCATTTTCCAGCTGATGTTGGAGAGATCAACCCTTTTCTCAGGCCAAAGGGACAATGAGATGACATTTATGTCGCTTCAGCTATTCATCAGTAGTCTGGAGGAGCAGAGCAGTGCCTGGCTAGAAACCCATCTATGTGGAGCAAAGTGGAATCTAAAAATATACTAGCTGCAGTGAAAGGCTTTGTAAATCAGGCATTTCCACGACCTGCGCTGTGTTGGCCTCACTCCTCTGTTACTATCGGTAAACAAGTATAATAGGAACTCATTTATGAAGCGCTCTGTCCTCGGGGCCCCGCACGTGCGTACTCGTACTCGAGGATACTGTCTCACTCCCATTTTACAGATCAGGAAATGGGGGCGGAGAGGTTAAGTGACTTGACTGAAGTCATACAGCCAGTAGGAGGCGGAGGTGGGAACTTAACCCAGACTCTGCAGCTCTAAAGCTGGTACTAACTTCAACCCAGGGTCCCCAGTCACCCCCTGTGTCACAGGTGTAGTGACACCAACTGTTCCTAATGCTGATACAGAAACATCTTGTGCCTGGGTATTTTCCACATTTCAAGACAGAGCATTGCCTGGATTTAAAGGTTCATTCATTCAGCTGAAAGGTTTAGAATATTTTCATTTCATGATAACCCAGTGGGGTACATAAGATGATGAACTGGGGTGAAGAAAGAAAATATTGAACCTCTTTATATTTGTTTCATTCTTTGAAAATTTTGACTTTTGCACATATTTTATAATCTATGCTTTTATGGTCCATGCCTGTAACTTACAAATAAATCCACAAAGTCTGAGAAGGTACATGCCAAAACATTTTCCTTATACACCACTGATGAGATTTTAACTATGGATTGCCGTATGTCCTAAGTATATTTCTAGAAGAGTGCAGAAACCACATTTGAAGAATCCACCTTCTTTTGAAGCATTGGGAACCATATGCTTTAAAAGAATCCATCAGTACATCTTTTTTTTTACAAAGTGAATTATAGATTGCAGATATTTCTGTATATCTGGATTTCCACAGGCTGTACTGATCCGTTTAAGAAGGGCTCAGTTCAGTCCACACACATTTGTTGAGGGTCCCCTAAATGCCAAGCACTGTGCTAGGCATATGACATGCAGTGGCCTTGACCCTGGCTCTAGTTTATGGTGTAGTGGGGTGGACAGAGGCATATTTCCAATCAAATGAAGCGGACAAGACGATATTCTTATGCATGTGTCACTGTGGGAGGGCAGGAGACGGCCCTTAGCTATTGCTAGAGCAATCGTGGAAAGCTTTCTGAAGGAGGTGTTGTTTGGAGCTAAATCTTAAAGGATTAGACAGAGTAAGAAGGTGGGGAAAGAGTGACAGGGCACTCAAGAGTAGAACCACGGAGGTTTGTGCTGGGGACCGTCAACCTTCCGTATTCCTGGAGCTTACACGTGAGGGTGACGCTCGGAGCTCCAGCCACAGAGGTGGTCTGGGGCCGATCTCAGGAGGCCTGGCATGGGAGGCCTCAGCGGGGTAGCAGGGTGCATCCAACACCAAACGCTTTTATGCAGCAGGATGACATGGTCAGACTTGATTTTTACCAAAACTATTCCAGTGAAAGTATAAAAGAGAGATCTGGGGCGGGGGCTGAAAATGGAGGCTCGGGCTTACCCAGTTCTGAGGCCATTTCCAAAGTTGAGGCAAAGGGTGATGTGGGCTGAGTCAAGGACAGGAAGTGTGGAGGAAATGAATGATGGACTTGAGGAATCCCGAGGAGGCAAGGTCAGCAAGACAGGGCACGCGGGAGGTGAAGGTGAGGGAGGAGTCGTGGAGGACACGTCCACGTTTCCCACTGGGCAACCAGGAAGAGGGTGGCAGTAGAGCAGGGCAGCATGGTGGGGTCTGGGCCAAGGGGGAGGAAGGGAGATGCTGAGTTAAGTTTGGCAGAGGATGAGCCTGAGGTACCTCTAGGACCTCCCTGTGAAGATGGCAGGTTGGACCTTGGGTATCTGAGTTTGGAGGGAGAGAGAGAGAATGAAAAGGGATGGAAAGAAGGAGAAGTCGGGGTTAGAGATGGAGGCATAAATACAATAAAGATGTTGGAAACAACTAGGAGAAGGTTGAGGTCACCGCCGGAGAGCGCAGGAACAGGAAGAGCTCTGGGCCCAGAACAGAGTCAGCGATGGAGGGTGGAGGGAGAAAGATGGGGAGCGTCAGCATCAGCATCTGGGGAGGGGCCAAAGGAAGAGGCAGCGAAAGTGACAAGAGGATGAGGATGAGGCGTGTCCGGAAATCTAAGGAGGGAGACGCAGGTACCAGCACCCCCCAGCTCTGCAGGGCCAGGAAGGTGAGGTTGGAGAGGCAGCCAGGGCTCCCTGCGTAATTATTGTCACTTGGAAAATTCCACAGAGGCAGCACTGCTGGAATTTAAAAAAAAGAAAAAGAAAAAGAAAAGGGAAATAAAGAAAGAGAGGGAGGGAGAAAGGAAGGAAGAAAGGGAAGAAAGAAAGAAA